GGGGGGGGGGGGGCCAAGGAGACACAGGACAAATTCTAGTACCAAACTGGTCATTTGCTTATGATTAAAACTGGGGATAGAAGTAGGCTGGGAGGGTGGAAGTAGGAGAGAGCAGTGGGGCCGGGGCCACCCACCTTGTACTTCTTCCTTTGCCAACACAGGAAGACCTTCTCCTTAAACTGGTCGTTGTAGGTCCTGTCATTGGCCTTCACCTCCCAGGTGAACGCTGAAGCCAGTGAGAGTGGGGAGTTGCACGGGGTGCAGACAAACACCACCAAATGATCCCCCAGAAGAGGGCTCACGGGCACCTGAAGTAACCAGACACTGAGGATGCCTGGCTCTTGGCCACGGGCGTGGAAGCCGGTAAGCCACCACCACCCCGGGCCAGTGTCTGGGCTCCGAGGACAGGCCCCGAGAGAGCCACTCATGCCCACTCCTGCTGCAGAGGCTGCCGGCCCAGCCCCGGCAGCCCAGCTATTTCGGGTCTGCAGCCTCCAAATCCTGAGTCTAGCATCCAGTCATGGGGTTTGGAGTTTGGGGAACGATTTGCAACCCGGTAAGAACCCCGTGGTGGGCCGGCGGAATGGGCTTGGGGAGTCTTCCCACCAGCCACACCTCTGCAGTGCTCCTTGGCTTCCTCCACTGGCCCCCCACGCCCCACAAGTGGCCCCAGAACATGCACCTGGTATCTTCTCCTCGTCGTCCTCGGCATAGGACAGGCTGCACACGCTGGTGGAGCTGTTGGGAAGAGGGGCCCAGGGTCACACCGGTGGCCCGGCCCTTGCCAGACACTGCCCATTATCGCTGCCTTCTCCAAGTGTCACCTCCCACTTCCATCAGCTTTCCCTTCCCCAGGGTCTGAAGGTCCAGCCACTGGCCCTGTGTCCTTCCCCGGGGTATCCCCGGCCTCCACCGTCCCTCCGCTCCTGCCGGGCCGCCACGGCCTCCCTGCTGCCCCCCGGCCCGGTTCCCACGCGGGGCTCGACGCCCTCTCCAGGGAGGGCTCGTGCGTGCTTGCTGCTGACTGCACGGGCCCGGGGGTCCGTGACGGCACCGAGCGTGCGTACAGGGCCCAGCTGCCCTGAGGTCTGAGCGCGATCCCGGGGCAGGTAAACCACGCCGGAGGCAGGCATCAG